TTTTGTAAAAATATTTTGTATTATAGTAGGAACTTTAAATAACAGACATTTATTGATTACTTACAGGTCATATTTTGTCAAGAATGACACTCTTGGGCGAGCAGCAGCAAAAGGAAAACTTCATCAACACCTCTTGCACCTTAACCCAAAACTTGAAGCTTCCATTGACAAGTTTCTGTCCATTCTCAATCAAGATCCCTTAGGAGAGGAGTTAAACACAGAGGATGATGTGCAAGATTGTGATGTAGGTTTTCACTATTATCTTGCCATTTTGCTAATTCTAAGAGGATGGAGAATATGATTAATGTCATTCTCAGATATATGTGCACGTTGTAAGAAACATTAAATTTTTCCCCAGTAGTATTAACCCCTTAATACCGGCTAACGCCGATCGGCGTGAAAACAAACTGCTCGAAAACTGGTGTGTGGCTGTACGCGGCAGCGGCGCGCCAAAGCGCGGCGAGCCAGTGATTTGGGCTGATATCCCCTACTCACGCGCTCAGAGTCGGCTAGGTTGAGGGTGGGTAACGTGAACATGGCATCATGGGAAAATCTGGCTGTAGGCCAGGTGACACGGACCTGCCGTCGTTAGTACAGTAAAACCTGAGAAAACCGAACACCCATGGGACTGTAAAAAATGTCCGGTTTGGACAGTGATCCGGTTTGGAGAGTGTGGGCTTTTAACACAGGCCGCCTATTGAAATGGGAAGGGACTGAGAATATCGTCCGGAATGGACAGTGATCCGGTTTTCTCAGGGTCCGGTTTTCTCAGGTTTTACTGTATTTTGGCTGAAGGCTGGGATGGTGGAAAAGACTCGCCACGTGTGCACAAACCTATTGAAAGGTTATTTTAGTGATGGTGATCTGGATAATGCAAATCAAATGGCAAATATGGGCATTTGAATATGGCCAAAAAACTAAAAACTCTTATGTGTAAAAAGAGTTAATAACTTTACACGTGTTCGCGTGCGTCTGGCTTACAAGCCACCACTTGGTAAAGTGGCTGTTCATGTAAGCCAGATCCCAGATTTTTGGTGATTTGATTGCCGTGATGCAACTAGATTCAGTGGGTTAAATATGTATACTGGAACTATATGGATATTTGAGCTAAAATGATTTTATGTGAAAGTAAACCAGATGCATTTCTGTGGTTTGGAATGTGTCCTTTCTGTATAGATTGATTACCAGTTCAACAATCTGTTTTCTAAATTAGCTGTCAGTCACCTTTTATATCCCTAGTTACATCATAGTCAAGTTTTTGCTTCTCTTCCCCCCCCCCCCCCCATTAACCCAGATCTGACAGGCATGGCATATATGTACATGTCATGTCTACTGTGAATTTACTTTATTAATTGTCTTTACACATAGATGGCTACACTTGTACTAAGTCACCAATGAGCCAATTACGAGTACTGCCCGTCTCGCCTGATTTTAAAAAATATTTTGCGTTGTATTATACTGCTGTTACTAATGTCTTTAACATTATAATAATTCTAATGTCTATAATAAGAATAACACATTGATATTCATAGCATTAGTAAAAAAATGTATTTCCCACCAATTAAAGGAAAGGTGAAATCAAGTAAGGTCACAGAGTCTACTAATTGGTCCCTTTGTGGCTAAGTACAAACAGAGCCATCGATGTGCAGAGACATTTCAAAAGAAAAAAAAAATGTGCACAGTATTTTCCCGGCGGGATTGAGTTAAAGTTTCAAAATTGATTGTCAAAATCAGGTGGTCCAGTGATTTACATATATATAATAATAAGTATAGAAATTCATAATTTCAAAGATCCTGATAGAATACTAGGATCAATATATCCCAGAGATGGATTGTTACTGTAGTACCTACTCTTGATTTACTTGTGTTAATCTATTATTTTACATCAGCAATATTGTAATGTGATAGCAGTTTGGTGTAATAATATTGTTATTGCAGGAAGTGGAAATACCGAAAGCACTTGGGGATATGGTGGAAGCGATCATTGGTGCTGTTTACCTGGACAGCAATAGGTCACTCAAGGTAGGCTGTATTTCAGTTGATTAACCCAATTCTGCCGGGCCATGCCTTGTGGCGTGATAACAAACTGCTCGGTCTGTGGAGTGCGGCTGTACGCCATGGCGACGTGCCAAAGTGCCATGAGCAGGGCGTTGGTCTTGATGTAGCAAACTCCCGTGCTCAAAGTTGGCTCGTTGCCATTAGTCTCCAGAGCATTGAGTTTTTAAAAATTTTCTTAACTCGGTGAAAAGGGGTTAAGAGTGACTGTATTTTCTAAAACAACCATGGACTTATGAAATATTGGGAATGGTTTTGCAGTTTATTAAGTGTGTAATTGCAAGAATAAGATATTTTTGAGAGTTGTTAGATTAGAAATAATTTCCTATGAATTGGCATCTTTGAGCAGAGGCTTTTCTGGTTTAGTAGTTCTATAGGAGTTGAATTAAGGAACATATATGTTAGGGATTTCGGAAATGTTACAAAAAAAGCCTTGAACACTTACATTCACTATGATGCAGAAGCATATCTCTTTCAAGATGAGTTTTGGATATATATTGTATTGATAGTAATTCATCTTCGATCAAACAAAGTAGAAACAAAATGCAAAGCATCATTGCTAATTTAGCAGGCCATCCTTGAGTCCATCAGTCAGATTCTAGTTGCTTTTCTGAAAGTATGATATTAGACAAATTTGTGTAGAATGACACAAGAAGTGTTGAATTTATTCTCCCCCATATAACTATTAGTCTGACAAAAAAATAACAATATTTGATAATATACATATTTAAATTTAAGAAAAATATCTTCTATGATTAACTGGATCCAAAAGGGACAATATCTGTGTGAAGAAAGCATTTCATAAGCCATGCATTCAATATGACAAGCATGCATCATTGACCAAAAAAACTTTAATATAAGAATTTCAATACTGAAAGCTTCTAATAAGATTGAGTATTATATGAACATCAGGTTTCCCAATGGTGAGGTCAGTATATGTGCATGGCAGATAAAAGCCATGCATGCGTACACTCTGACTCAATGAAGGGAAGTACAAGAAAACACACGAATATGCGTATTCGTGAGTTTTCCTGTACACTTCATTGTTCTACTTGCAATTTGTTCGGCAGGAATTCCACACTCTGACTCAAGCTCCCTCAGTTCTTTGTTTTCCCTGTCCATTTAGTATCTGGCAAGAAATGTGATGTTCATTAGATTAGCTTTGTGATGCTGACTATAATGAACTTTCAGTCTTTTGTTTTATCTATTTCAATAGGTAGCATGGCAAGTAATAGAAAGGATATTAGGGGACCTGTTGAATACATCTATTCAGGCAATACAGCTGAACCCAGTTCGTCAACTGCTTGAAGAAGTGCCTGGTGAAAAGCAAGTTGAATTTGTCAAGGGCCAAGAAGATGGAAGTGAAAAGTCATCTTATACTGTAATGGTGAGTTACTTTGCATCTCTTTCTTTATCCCTCACTTTATCTATCTCTCTTTTGCCCTCTTTCTCATTACCTCTTTCTTTCTCTTTCTCGCTCTTACTTTCTCTCTTTCACCCTCTTTCTCTTTCTCTCTTTCACCCTCTTTCTCTTTCTCTCTTTCACCCTCTTTCTTTCTCTCTTTCACCCTCTTTCTCTTTCTCTCTTTCACCCTCTTTCTTTCTCTCTTTCACCCTCTTTCTCTTTCTCTCTTCACCCTCTTTCTCTTTCTCTTGCTCTTTTCTCTCCCCTCTCTCTTTTTCTCCCGTTTCTCCTCTCTCTGTTTCTCCTGTTTCTCCTTTCTCTGTTTCTACTGTTTCTCCTCCCTTTGTTTCTCCTGTTTCTCATCTCTCTCTCTCTCAGTTTCTCTCTCTCTCTCACTCTCACTCTCTCTGTATTTCTCTCTCTTTGTGTTTCTCTCTTTCTCTCTCTGTGTTTTTTTTTCTCTCTCTCTGTGTTTTTCTCTCTATGTTTTTTTTTTCTCTCTGTGTTTCTCTCTCTCTCTCTCTCTCTCTCTGTTTCTCTGATTCTCTCTCTCTCACTCTCTGTTTCTCTCTCTCTCTCTGTTTTTCTTTCTCTCTCTTTGTTTCTCTCTCTGTCTCTCTCTGTGTTTCTCTCTCTCTCTCACTCTCTGTTTTTTTTTATCTGTTTCTCTCTCTCTGTCTGTCTGTCTGTCTTCCTCTCTCTCTCTCTCTCTCTCTCTCTCTCTCTCTCTCTCTCTCTCTCTCTCTCTCTCTCTCTCTCTCTCTCTCTCTCTCTCTCTCGCTGTTTCTCTCTCTGTGTGTTTCTCTCTGTCTGTCTGTCTTCCTCTCTCTCTCTGTTTCTCTCTCCCCCTCTCTCTTTGCTTCTCTCTCTCTCTGTTTCTCTGTGTTTCTCTCTCTCTCTCTCAGTTTCTCTCTCTCTGTTTCCCTCACTCTCTCTGTTTCCCTCACTCTCTCTGTTTCCCTCTCTCTCTCTCTCTCTCTCTCTCCTCTCTCTCTCTCTCTCTCTCTCTCTCTCTCTCTCTCTCTCTCTCTCTCTCTCTCTCTCTCTCTCTCTCTCTGTCTCTCTCTCTCTCTCTCTCTCTCTCTCTCTGTCTCTCTCTCTCTCTCTCTCTCTCTCTTTCTCTCTTTCTTTCTGTCTCAGTTTCTCTCTCTCTCTCTTTCTGGGTCAGTTTCTCTCTCTCTGTTTCCCCCTCTCTCTCTCTCTTTCTCTGTTTCTTTCTCTCTCTCTCTTTCTCTCTCTCTCTCCCTCCCTCTTTTTCTCTCTGTTTCTCTCAGTTTCTCTCTCTCTCTTTCTCTGTTTCCCTCTCTCTCTCTCTCTCTCTCTGTTTCTTTCTCTCTCTCTCCCTCCCTCTGTTTCTCTCCTCTCTCTCTCTGTTTCTCTCCTCTCTCTCTCTCTCTCTCTCTCTTTCTGTCTCAGTTTCTCTCTCTCTCTGTTTCTCTCTCTCTCTCGCTCTCTCGCTATGTTTTTCTCTCTCTCATTCTCTCTCTCTCTCGCTCTGTGTTTTTCTCTCTCTGTGTTTCTCTCTCTCTCTCTCTGTGTTTCTCTTTCTCTCTCTCTCTGTGTTTCTCTCTCTCTCTCTCTCTCTTTGTGTTTCTCTCGTTCTCTCTGTTTCTCTGATTCTCTCTCTCTGTTTCTCTGAGTCTCTCTCTCTCTCTGTTTTTTCTCTCTCTCTGTTTCTCTGATTCTCTCTCTGTTTTTGTTTTTTTCTCTCATTCTTTCTCTTTTTTCCTCTCTCTCTCTCTCTGTTTCTCTCTCACTCTGTTTCTCTCTCACTCTTTTTCTCTCTCTCATTCTCTCTCTGTTTTTCTCTTTCTCCGTTTTTTTCTCTCTCTGTTTCTCTGTCTGTCTGTCTTCCTTTCTCTCTTTCTCTCTCTCTTTGTTTCTCTCTGTTTCTCTCTCTCTCTCACTCACTCTTTTTTTCTCTCTCTCTCTGTGTTTCTCTCTCTCTGTTTCCCTTTCTCTCTCTCTCTCTGTTTCTCTCTCTTTTTCTCTCTCTCATTCTCTCTCTTTCTGTTTTTTTCTCTTTCTCTCTCTCTCGCTGTTTCTCTCTCTGTCTGTCTTCCTTTCTCTCTCTCTCTCTCTGTTTCTCTGACTCTCTCTCTCTCTTTTTTTTCTCTCTTTCCCTCTCTCTCTCTCTGTTTCCCTCTCTCTCTCAGTTTCTCTCTCTCTCTCTCTTGCTGTTTCTCTCTCTCTCTTTCTCAGTTTCTCTCTCTCTCTCTCTCTGTCTCTCTCTCTTTCTGTCTCAGTTTCTCTCTCTCTCTTTCTGTCTCAGTTTCTCTCTCTCTCTCTCTCTGTTTCTCTCTCACTCTCTCTGTTTCTGTAAGGGTTATTATAAACACCTCTTAACATTGGTGACAGGGAAGTAAAAGCTTAGTGGCTAAAAACTCTTTTATTGATAGAGCTAGCACACAGAGAATATACACAAGTATGACAAGGCTTGGGTTAAGGCGAGGGCGCCTAGGTCAGACGGCAAGCCCTACCAAACGGCAACCTGGCCACGGGGTCAGGCGTGACCCACCTCGGCACAGAACACTCTGCTTTCAGGGATCATCTGCAGGCCTTAAATATCCGAGCGTTGGCTTGGGGAAAGAGGGTAGGTAACATTCCTCCAAGCCGCGTTTGGCGGCGTGGGGAACGAGGCTAGGTAGCGTCCAAGCCGGCTGGTAGCTAGTGTGGGCGACTCTTTCTCTCCCTGTTTCTCTCTCACTCTGATTCTCTCTCTCCTGTTTTTCTCTGTTTCTCTCCTCTCTCTCTCTCAGTTTTTCTCTCTCTGTTTTTTTCTTTCTCTGTCTCTCTCTGTTCCTCTCTCTCTTTCTCTCTGTTTCTCTCTCTCGCTCTGTGTTTTTTTCTCTCTCTCTCTGTGCTTTTCTCTCTCTCTTTGTGTTTTTCTCTCTCTGTTTCTCCCTCTCTCTCGCTCTGTGTTTTTCTCTCTCTCTGTTTCTCTCTCTCTCTCACTCTGTTTCTTTTTCTCTCTCTGTTTCTTTCTCTCTCTGTGTTTCTCTCTCTCAGTTCCTCTCTTTCTCAGTTTCTCTCTCTCTGTGTTTCTCTCTCTCTCTCTGTTTCTCTGATTCTCTCTCGCTCTCTGTTTTCTCTCTCTCTCTCTGTTTCTCTCTGTTTTTCTTTCTCTCTCTCTTTGTTTCTCTCTCTCTCTCTCTGTTTCTCTCCTCTCTCTCTCTGTTTTTCTCTCTCTCATTCTCTGTTTTTTTCTCTCTCTGTTTTTTCTCTCACTCTTTCTCTCTCTCACTCTCTGTTTCTCTCACTCTCTTTCTCTGTTTCTCTCTCACTCTCATTCTGATTTTTGTCTCTCTCTCTCTTTCTGTGTTTTTCTCTCTCTCTCTCTGTTTCCCTCTCTCTCTCTCAGTTTCTCTCTCTCTTTCTCTCTCGTTCTCTCTCTCTTTCCCTCTCTCTCTCTCTGTTTCTCTCTATGTCTCTCTCTCTCTCTCCGTTTCTCTCTCTCTCTTTCTGTCTCAGTTTCTCTCTCTCTGTCTCAGTTTCTTTCTCAATTTCTCTCTCTGTTTCTCTCTCTCTCTGTTTCCCCCTCTCTCTCTCTGTTTCTTTCTCTCTCTCTGTTTCTGTCTCACTCTTTTTCTCTCTCTGTTTCTCTCCCCCCCTCTCTCTCTCTCTCTGTTTCTCTCTCTCTGTCTTTCTCTCTCTCTCTCTCTCTCTGTTTCTCTCTCTCTCTTTCTGTCTCAGTGTCTCTCTCTCTTTCTGTCTCAGTGTCTCTCTCTCTCAGTTTCTCTCTCTTTCTGTCTCAGTTTCTCTCTCTCTGTCTTTCTCTCTCTCTCTCTCTCTGTTTCTCTCTCTCTTTGTCTCAGTGTCTCTCTCTCTTTCTGTCTCAGTGTCTCTCTCTTTCTGTCTCAGTTTCTCTCACTCTCTCTGTCTCAGTTTCTCTCTCTCTTTCTGTCTATCTCTCTCTCTCTGTTTCCCTCTCTCTCTCTCTGTTTCTTTGTTTCTCTCTCATTTTCTCTCTCTCTGTTTCTCTTTCTCTCTCTCTCCCTCTGTTTCTCTCTCTCTCTCTGTCTCTCTCTCTCTGTTCCTCTGATTCTCTCTCCCTCTCTCGCTCAGTGTTCTCTCTCTCTCTCTCTCTCTCTCTCTCTCTGTTCCTCTCTCTCTGTTTTTCTTTCTCTCTGTTTTTCTTTCTCTCTCTGTTTCTCTCTCTCTCTATGTTTCTTTCTCCCTCTCTCTCTCATTCTCTCTGTTTTTTTTCTCTTTCTCACTGTTTCTCTCTCTGTTTCTCTCTCTTTCTCTCTCACTCTCTCTCATTCTCTCTTTTTCTCTCTCTCTCTCTCTGTTTCTCTCTGTCTGTCTGTCTTCCTCTCTCTCTCGGTTTCTTTCTCTCTGTTTGTCTCTCACTCACTCTCTCTCTTTCTCTCTGTTTCTCTCTCTCTCTCTCTCTCTCCGTGTTTCTGTCTCTCTCTCTCTCTCTCCGTGTTTCTGTCTCTCTCTCTCTCTCTCCGTGTTTCTGTCTCTCTCTCTCTCACTGTTTCTCTCTCTGTCTGTTTCTCTCACTCTCTCTCATTCTCTCTTTTTCTCTCTCTGTCTGTTTCTCTCTCTCTGTCTGTCTGTCTTCCTCTCTCTCTCTCACTCTCTCTCTTTGTTTCTCTATCTGTTTCTCTCACTCTCTCTCTCCGTGTTTCTGTCTCGCTCTCTCTGTTTCCCCCCCTCTCTCTCTCTCTCTGTCTCTCGTTCTCTCTGTTTCCCTCCCTCTCTCTCTCTCTCTCAGTGTTTCTCTCTGTCTCTCTCTCTTTTTCTTTCTCTCTCTCTTTCTGTCTCAGTTTCTCTCTGTTTCTCTCTCAGTTTGTCTCTCTTTTTGTCTCAGTTTCTCTCTCTCTCTCTCTCTCTCTCTCAATTTCTCTGTTTCTTTGTTTCTCTCTCTCATTTTCTCTCTGTCTCTTTGTGTTTCTCTCTGTTTCCCTCTCTCTCTTTCTGTTTCTCTCTCTCTCTCTGTTTCTCTCTTTCTCTCTCTCTGTTTCTCTCTCTCT